GCAGTAGACATCGCCGGTTGTTTCCTATACGCTTGAGACAATGACCTATACAGTGGTACCTCAGTTGAAGAGTTTAAGCCCTTCTGGCACTGAGTTCGTCATCCGTGAAACGCTCATCTTGTGAAACGTAGCCAAGCAAACTGCGCCAGTTCACTGACTGGCTGCAGGCGACTGAGGATTCATGCCCTGGGAGCAACACTCGGTGGCGGACACGGGCACACATGCTCTTCAACTGAGCGGAAGTTCGTCAATCGAAACAAATGTTTTGTTAGTAGTTCGCTTTTTACCTCTAGTGCTCGTCACTCGAGGTTCCACTGTAGGGCATAACCCGACTATTGCATCGATCAAATTTGGCCTAAGACAGCAGTCTGTAGGCGGCGTTGCAATTTAATTTTCTATTTGGGGACCGACTTACCATCCTGAGCAACCGGCGATAGGGAACGTCTGGAGTGGGATGGATTTATGATAGGAGAAAATGGCCTCATAGCACTACTTTCTGCTTCTTTCTCTTACGTCTTATATCACGCTCCGGTGATGTTAGGGAAACAGGCTGATAGGCGATGAAACTGATTGTAGCAGTTGACGTCTCTGTTTGAAATCTGCATCTCTTGCAAGACGAGAACCCATTTTCCAGTCCCAGTTCAGTCTGGTGCAACGGCTATCGTACATTGTACAGTCAACGATCCATCGTGCCAGCACGGGGAGATTTCAAGCTCACGCATTTGCTACTTTATGAAAATTTGCGTTTAATTTAAACTGCTTTTATCTACCGAACTCAATAACGGACTGAGTGACCGAATTATAGGAAAGATGGGAAACCTTTTGTGCGTGCGATCTACTCCGGAAGTTTGAGAAGAAAATTGTAACGCCTTGTCAAATAAGCCTTTAAAGCGGAATACAAGTTGCCAACTTCTGCTCCAGATGCAACACGATCGGTCTTTTTGGGGTTGTTAGCGAACTTCATTTCGTTTCCTTATCTTACCATTTTATCTAAAATTAACTTCTCAAAAACATACGTTAGTCTCCAAACTCAGAGATTTAGGACAAAACTCACAGCACAGGCGTTAACATAAAATCTTAAGAGCAGGAGTGAGCTGCGCGCAAACGCCAAACCTTTAAGGCGTGTCTGGTGAAACCAAGGTTTTAAAATTCGCCCAGGGGTGAGAGTCGTAGAGTTATTTGGCAACCACGTGAGTGGGCAAAATAATCGTGTAGTGGGTGGCCTTAAATATGCAGTCCTCTTAAACCTTGTATTTTGAAACTGCATATATACACGTCGAGTTAGACTCTCCAAAGAAGCCAGTTGGAAGCCGAGTTTAGAAAAAGCCTGGAATATGTTAGGTCGAATTCCATTCAAATTCACGAGCAAATATCCGAGTGCACTATATCCATCGAGTAACTATTACTAAAAGCAAAACAAATTAGTACTCTCCAGTAAACAACAAAATTCCACAACCCACAAGTATAATTTAATTGCGGATTCATAAAAGACATTGTTGGACGACATTTTTAGACAGTAGGCGTGTTTGCCCTAAAGTTCAACATAGTAAAATGAACCCAAGAGTCAAAACAATATTAACATGCTTTATTAAATATTCATGCTAAAATAAATTGGGACGTAGAATACCCAGGCAGTGAGGTAATGTGTGTTCTCTGAGGGAATCGAACAAACAACACAGTGGAGGATCATAGAAGTACGTAAATTTCCCTAGAGATCCAAGTACCTGCATCATCCTTTTCAGTCCTTCGTTATAAATATTAACAACCGCAGATGTATCCTTTCGTTACTTTAAAACAAAACTCCAGTTAATTTTGCATCCTCATACATAAGCCTACCGGAAGCAATACTGTGCTTGTTGCAGCTAAAAGCGGATTTAATTTCGCTCGTGCTAACCTAACATAATAACATCCGTGAAACGTGTAATCGTGGTGCTCGTAAAAATATTTAAATCACATCAACGTAAGACCTCTTTTCAATAAGGAATTGGAAGGCCTAAGCCGCATTCAACGTCTACTTATGTCTGAAAAAAAAAATGCCCCTGAATTTCCTCCCTCCGGGGATCGACTGGCCTTCAAATATTTCCGCCTATTTAGTGCTTTACCCATAGCTTTCACGTTGAAGTCGGAATAGGAAAAATTAAACATTCTGAATAATTGTTGGCGACCACAGATAAAAAAACCAACAATATACGCTTATCTGGTTATCCAGTAAAACACGGATTACCTCAAAAGTCGAAAAAATAGTCATCTCAAAAACCCCATCCCTTCTCTATCATTGACGTTTCACAGTATAAACTTGAAATTATTGGGTATAAAAAGGTCATGTCTATTGTATTGAGGGATATGTAGGTAAAATTCCTATCCTTCAGTATACTGATACTGATAAAATAGACATGACCTTTTTCTACCCAATAATTGCTAGTTTATAATGTGAGACGTCAGTGCTAGAGAAGGGATGGGGTTTTTAAGTATAGTTAGTCACTTGAAACGAAAGTCACCATTATTGCATTTTTTTACCGTTTAAACTTCAGGTTCGCTTATAGGCTTAAAACGAAGGCAGCACATGCTACAGAAGGTAAACTAAAACACGATTACAACCAACTTGGTATCACATATTCATTAAATATAAATAAAATTGGAATATTGGAAACTGTATTACAATGATGACACAGCAATTTCCGTGTTACAGGAGGCAATTCAGGAGGAAATCTTTGACGTTGCGTCGCGCTTTGAATCCGCTCCTGTTGTTCTCGAAAGTCCGGCTCTATGCAGCGTTTTAATTAATTACCTTCTTCGTCAAAACCGAGAGCTTTCTCCCCTCGTAAGTGCTTAGCATTTTCAATGTCCATAATCAGGCCTTCTTCCACCTTTCTTTGGTTTTTTAACATGCAAAGCCCAACTAAGTCCCTTGGAGTTAATAAACTGTACAACGACCTTCCATGCTCAGTACATTATTCCACATGTACACTGCAGTTTACACAAGATAAACGATACTTTAACGAACTAATTAGGCATGTTTGAGGAATTTTATGCGGGTCTGGAAATCCACATGCCTGAGTTGAAATTGACCTCCAGTATT